CATATGGTATCGTTGATTTAATATGAGAGTATTTTGAAAGGGTCATTGGAAATGGAATTAATAGATAAGTTTATTTTGGTGCAAAAATTTTTCAAGGAAAATTACCAGAAATATGCTTGTAGCTGTTATTTTATTTCACATTACGATACTCTGATGTTTCTTCCTTTAAATACTTTTTTGAAAAATTATTTTATTTATTTGAAAGAGTTACAAAGAGAGGTAGAGACAGAGAGGTTTTCCATCCACTGGTTCACTCCCCAATTGGCTGCAACAGCTGGAGCTGCACCAATCCGAAGCCAGGAGCCAGGAGCTTCTTCTAGGTCTCCCATGTGGGTGCAGGGGCCCAAGGACTTGGGCCATCCTCCACTGCTTTCCAAGGCCATAGCAGAGAGCTGGATTGGAAGTAGAGCAGCTGGGTCTAGAACCGGCGCTCATATGGGATTCCGGCGCTTCAGGCCAGGGCCCTAATCTGCTGGGCCACAGCGCCAGCCCCTTCATATATTTTTAACAATTGCTATTTGAGATGCAGAGAGGATGAGAATGAGGGAGAGAACACTCCCATCCACTGATTGACTCCCCAAATGCCTACAAAGACTGGGGATGGGCCAAGGCTGAAGCCTGGAGCTAAATCCAGGTCTCCTGTGTGTGTCAGAGTCCTCACTTAGGATGCTCACCTTGATCCAGAGCCAGTGTAGCCTGCTCAGCTGATGACGTCACCACTGCCTCCCGGGTGTGTATTAGCAAGAAGCTGGAATTAGCAGATCCGGGACTTGAAGCCAGGCACTGTGGTGGGGAACCCAAGCATCAGTCAGTATGTTAAACAGCTAGGTCGGATGTCCATCTCAGATAATTTTATTTTCCTTCACTGTCTTTTGTTAACTTTTTGAAAACCCTCTTTCCTGTTTCCCTGTTACACAACTCATTTCTCCCCTCCCTCCAGCCCATGTAACTACCATTCTGCTTTTTGTTTCACGTAAGTAGAATCACGTGCATTTGGCTTATTTCACATAGCACAGTGTCCTCAAGGTTCATCCATATTGTATATGACAACATCTCCTTCCCTGTAGGGCTCAGTGACATTCCATTGTACGCGTGTCCATCACTTCCTTTATCTCTGTCTGTTGGTGGACATTTAGGTTGCCTACCACCTCTTGGATATCTTACGTAATGCTTCAGGATACATGAGTATGTGACTATCTCTTCAAGATCTTGTTTTCCATTCTTCTGACTACATACCTAAACCTAGAGGGGATTGCAAGACTATGTGGTAGTTCTGCTTTTAACTTTTTCAGAAACTTTCATGCTGTTTCCATAGTGGTTGTACCATTTTTTTTTTTTTTAATTTGACAGGTAGAGTTATAGACAGTGAGAAGGAGACAGAGAGAAAGGTCTTCTTCCGTTGGTTCACTCCCCTAATGGCCGCTATGGCCGGTGCTGCGCCAATCCAAAGCCAGGAGCTGGGTACTTCCTCCCAGTCTCCCATGTGGGTGCAGGGACCCAAGCACCCGGGCCATCCTCCACTGCCTTCCCGGGCCACAGCAGAGAGCTGGACTGGAAGAGGAGCAACCAGGTCTAGTACCTGGCACCCCAACCAGGACTAGAACCTGGGCTGCCGGTGTCACAGGTGGAGGATTAGTCAAGTGAGCCACAGCGCCAGCTGTGGTTGCACCATTTTTACCATGCCAGTCCCACCAGGGGTACACAAAGGCATGTTTGTCAACACTGTGTGTGTGTGTGTGTGTGTGCGCGCGTATGTTTATGTTGGCCATCGTAAAGGTTGTGAAATAGGATCTTGCTGTTTTTTTCTTTGAATTTCTCTAATGATTAGTGATGTTGAGTATCTTTTCGTGTTTCTTGACCATTTGTATATATCTTTGGAGAAACATTTATTAATATTCTTATTAAAATCAGATTATCTGTTTGATTGTTGATTAGTTGTTGATTTTCAAATACATTCAGGCTGTTAATTCCATATCAGTTAAATAGTTAGCAGACAGCGTCTCACATTCCATAGGTTGCTTTTTCACACTATTGATTATGATCTTGGCACGAGAAATTTCTATATTAGATGTTCTTTGAGTCAGCCTTTGTTTACTTTAAGTAAAATACCTGGGAGGAGCTTGTTGGAAAGGAGAGGTTATTTCAGCTTTTAGTTTGGAGGTTAAAGTTCAGGGATGAGTGGTCCTATGTAAGGCATAGGTGGAGGCTAGTGCTGGCGGGTGTGGAGGAATGATTACATAGTGAGCCAGGGAGCAGCGAGAGAGCAGCCAGGCAGCACTAGAACTCAAATAAACAGCCCTCTCTCGAGAGCCACCCTCCAAGGGTGACCTGACGATCTCCCACCAGATGTACCTCTGAAACACCGTAATTAGAACAAGCCTCCACCGTCAGTCCATTAAGCCTTAATGTCAAAGAAGCAGATTGGGTCTGTGTAAGTTCTGGGAGACAGGTGCTGTTCTACCCATAACAGGTATGGTCCCAGTTACCCGTGTTTGCCTTTCCCGATTGTGATTTTGGCATCATTCCCGAGAAATCCTCGTGGTAGCCAGGTCATAGTTCTTATCCTGGGTTTTCTTCTGGGAAGTGTGTGTGTGTGTGTGTGTTGTACTTTTGGATGTTAGTTTTCATATAGTGAGTTGTGTTGCCCCGTTTGTTGTAGTTGGTTACATCACATATATGAAGGCTTAATTCTCGGCTCTCTTCTGCTCTGGTCTGTGTATGTTTTGCTGTAGACGTTTTCATGGATGGATGTTTTGTTTCTCTTAGGTACATATCTAGGAGAGCAGCTGCAATGTGATAGGGAGATACGTGTCTAACTTAGAAATGAACAGATAGCTTCATAAAGTGATTATAGCAACACTTGGTATGATCAGTTTTTGATTTTGGCCATTCTGGTTGACTGAATCATGTGTGTGTGTGTGTTTCTTGGCTGAATTGTTATTTGAAGTACTTAAGGTATCTGAAATTTTATCCTTAATTATATGATCACTAATTTTTGCTCCATTCCCAAAAAAATAACATTTTTCTCAATTTCTAAACATTTTCTGATATAGTTGAGGGACTCAGTAAATGTTTATTTTGAATAAATGAAATGGATTATCAAAACATTAAATTTAACTTTTTCATGATAACTCTGAGATTGGTATCTAGGTACCTAGGATCTTCCCCAATATTCAGTAATATTTTAGTAGTTGAGTTGCCCCAGGAGAGAGCTGGTATGAAGCAGTTTTAGGACAGCACATTCTGCTGAGTTTCCTATTGGAATAATTATAAAACCTAAGAGTGAAGTATTGCTAAAACCAAGGTAGGGGCCGGCACTGTGGCGCAGCGGGTTAACACCCTGACCTGAAGCACTGGCATCCCATATGGGTGCTGGTTCGAGACCTGGCTGCTCCACTTCTGATCCAGTTCTCTGCTAAGGCCTGGGAAAGGAGTGCAAGATGGCCCAAGGACTGTACCCACATGGGAAACCAGGAAGAAGCTCCTGGCTCCGGATCAGTGCAGCTCCACCCATTGAGGCCAGTTGGGGAGTGAACCATTGGATGGAAGACCTCTCTGCCTCTCCTCTCTCTCTGTGTAATTCTGACTTTCAAATAAATAAATAAATCTTCAGGGGAAAAAAAAAAAAACAAGATGGTTTTAGGAATTAGGGAAGTTCGCCTAGACAAGGACTTCAGTTTCTTTTTTACAGTCAGAGGATTGCATTTATATTTAAAATGAAATGAATTATTTTTATAAAGTTTAAGATTTTATTTATTTGAAAGGCAGACAGAGGGAGCTCTTCTGTCCTCTGGTTCATCTCCCAAATCCTACAATAGCTAAGGCTGGGCTAGGCTGAAGCCAGGAGCTCAGAACCCGATCAAGGTCTCCGTGCAGGTGACAGGGATCCAAGTACTTGAGCTGTCACCTGCTGACTCCTGGGGTATGCGTCAGCAGCAAGCTGCGATTGGAAGTGGAGTTGGGACTGGAACCCAGCACTGTGACACGGGGTGCAGGCACCCAGAGCAGTGTCTGACCTCTGTGCCAAATGCCTGCCCCCAAATTATCCTATTAATAAAAATGCATGCTTTTGTGTTTATATCTTTTTTAAAGATATTGTTTATTTGTCTGAGAGGTAGGGTTACGGACAGAGTGGGACAGAGCATTATAAAATTTATATCAATGTGATTTTTTGGTTTTGTATCACTGCTTATTGTTACATGGCTTAATTTTCTGCATTTGTATTTTTACAATGTGTGCTTTTTAAAGACATTTATTTTATTTGAAAGGCAGAGTTAGAGGGGGGTGGAGAGAGAGAGAAAGAGAGAGGAATCTTCCATCTGCTGGTTGACTCCCCAAATGGCTGCAACAGTTGGAGCGGGGCCAGACCAAAGTCAGGAGCCAGGAGCTTCTTCCAGGTCTTCCACGTGGGTTCAGGAGCCCAAGCACGTGGACCATTTTCTGCTGCTTTCGCAAGCATATTAGCAGGGAGCTGGATAGGGAGTGGAGCAGCTGGGACTCAAACTGGCGCTCACATGGAATGCTGGTGCTGCAGACCGTGGCTCAACCCGTTACACCACAGCATTGGCCCCACAATGTACGCTTTTCATACATTGTGTAACAACCATTTGTTCTGTCTTGTGTTTTATGAAGTCCCAGCCTACAAAATGTGATTACTCATTGGCGATTTGAGAAAAACAGGCCCTCCTTCATGATTTTATTTTCTACCCAGTGGTTAGTAAATATTTTTGAATACTCATACCTTTTGAAATAAGACTTAGATGTGGTTTTGTTAGTGCAGTCTGTGAAAATGTGAACATATTTCAAACTTTTATTACTGTGAATAATCTTGTGATGGTGCTGTACAGTGCTAATTGAAATAATAATTTCTCTTTGCCCTTTTATTATTTCATATTGGAAGCAGATATGTAAGTATTGGGTATTTTTGGCTTTTCTGCTTTTTGCAGTATTTTGAGTCACATCCAGTTTAACAGCTTCATTGTTTCATTTTCTACTCCCAGAGAATCAAGTGAAGAAAGCTGCTCTCGCATTTCATAAGCACAGTAACGTGACTACAGATGTTAATAGAAAGAAGGGCACAGTTTTAGAATACCCTTCAAAGAATTCATCATTGGGAGACGAAAGGAGGCCGTCACATTCCAGGAACAAGCGGTTTTTGTCGTACCCAAGATACGTGGAGGTCATGGTCACCGCTGACTCCAAGATGGCGCGTTATCACGGGCAGAATCTGCAGCACTATGTACTCACCCTGATGTCAATTGTGAGTAGGCAAAACGCTTCCTCCCTGCTTCCTAAAATGTCTTTCCACATGAGTCTGGTTTTTTTTCCACATAAAATCTAATGTTTTTTTTTTTCCTAAAGTCTAGATATAAATAACTTTTATCTGGGTAACATCTCACTGAGACGTAATTTAGATGTCTGTACACCAAGTATTGCACTCTGGGACTGGGACAGTTTCTAAAGCATTTGTGCATCTCTGAAATGACTCAGAAAATGCTGGACTCATTCTCATTTCTTCACGAATGGCTTCTGCCCTCTAGTGACAGCGAATATCCTAGTTGCACTGATCTCTGCTTGGCATTTTAGAACTGGACCCTGTTTCTGCAGAGAAGAAGAACCATAGTATTTTTTTTTTTTTAATTTTTTGACAGGCAGAGTGGACAGTGAGAGACACAGAGAAAAAGATCTTCCTTTTGCTGTTGGTTCACCCTCCAATGGCTGCTGCGGCTGGTGCGCTACGGCCGGCGCACTGTGCTGATCCGATGGCAGGAGCCAGGTACTTATCCTGGTCTCCCATGCGGGTGCAAGGCCCAAGCACTTGGGCCATCCTCCACTGCACTCCCGGGCCACAGCAGAGAGCTGGCCTGGAAGAGGGGCAACCGGGACAGAATCTGGTGCCCCGACCGGGACTAGAACCCGGTGTGCTGGCGCCGCAAGGTGGAGGATTAGCCTAGTGAGCCGTGGCGCCGGCCAAGAACCATAGTATTTTTACTGTTACTGCATTTTCTATGTCAGAACCTGAGATGTGTGAGCTTTTATCCATGAGTTTTGGGGAATGATGGCATAAGCTGTTGCTAAGAAAGTTGTCTCAGTCAATGTGGAATCTGAGACCACAGTGGCACTGAGTCTTCCATCTGGGGTTGCTGTCCGTGTCCAGCAGTGGTGGTGCCAGTAGCCACAGAACAGATCTCTAACATGAGTGGAGTGCACTGTTCTGTGTTTTTGGTAGCCCCGGTCTCACATATACCAGTACACACACACACTCACACACACACACACACACACATGCGCTTTAGTTGGTGGAGCATTCTAGAATTTAAGACTACTTTTTTGTTTAGTTTCAGTTTAGTTTTTTGGGGGGTAATTGCTAATGGCTACCTCTTTCATGCTCAGAAGTGTCCTGGTTTAGTGGATGAGTTACGTGGTCCCCTCTTGATACAGATTCAAGGTTTTCTGTAATGCATCTCAAGGCTGGGAGTAGCACTGCAAGGAAGCAGTTGGATACAGAGGTTTGGCCAGGACAGCCTTAGGATGTTTGAAATCCCTCTGGCTGGAAATCCTCAGTCAAGTTCACTTTGACGTAAAGATCATCGGATTCTGTACTTTTCTTTATGTATGGCATTGTTTATCAGTTTTTGTGATTGTATCATCGTCTTTCTTACCTAAATGTGGCATCTGTCAGTCGGTGCTCAACAAATAATTGTTGTTAAACAAAAGAAAGTAAGATTCCTGCTTTTTTCTGAATGTGATGTGTTGTGCTGAACATAAGACAATTGATCCATAAGTTTTCCTGGAATTATATGATGTAGACACTCGTTTCTTGACTTGAATTTTTAAAATGACAGAGGAACTATGTGTAGAAATTTATCCTGATGAAATTTTTTAAATTTCTAGATTCAAATTCATCATCTAGTTATATACTTAAATGGATGTGGGGCTGGGATCCTCCTGTGGAAGGGATCCTGTGAGAACTGTGACATGGGGAGTATGAGTTGGTTCTCAGGATAGTGTATCCATTATATGGAACAGTGGGATCAACTTCCCAGTTGAAAATGGTTAGGAAAGAGGACATTCATGAAGAAGTTGAGTGGGGCTCAATAGTGAGGGAAAATACTGCATTTTGTAAATGCAGCAGATTTTGAAACGTAGTAAATGACAGATGATGTTGGTGCTTTGGAATTCCTGACAGGAAGTAAAGGAACACAAGAGAAATTCTTCAAGAGTGACTCTGGTGTAGCTCTGGGAAGAAAAGTCTTGTTTCCTGTATTTCACAATGAACCCGTTATCAGTGCTGCAAAGTGATGTTTCTCTGATGGACCGTGGGGTGCCGTGGGGTAGCTGAAGTTATCTACGGGCGTTCTAAAGGCAGGGTTAGAGCAGACTTCTTTGATTTTGTGGAAACCAGATCTGCATTGAGGCTGCAGGAAGCCTCAGATCAGTGCTAGTCCTGCTCATGTCAGTGCATGTCCTGTGCATGTCACTGTAAGATAGTGCATGTCACTGTAAGATAGTGCGTGTCCTGTGCATGTCACTGTAAGATAGTGCATGTCACTGTAAGATAGTGCATGTCACTGTATGATAGTGCATGTCACTGTATGATAGTGCATGTTACTGTAAGATAGTGCATGTCACTGTATGATAGTGCATGTTACTGTAAGATAGTGCATGTCACTGTATGATAGTGCATGTCACTGTATGATAGTGCATGTTACTGTAAGATAGTGCATGTCACTGTATGATAGTGCATGTCACTGTAAGATAGTGCATGTCACTGTATGATAGTACATGTTACTGTAAGATAGTGCGTGTCCTGTGCATGTCACTGTAAGATAGTGCATGTCACTGTAAGATAGTGCATGTCACTGTATGATAGTGCATGTCACTGTATGATAGTGCATGTCACTGTAAGATAGTGCATGTCACTGTATGATAGTGCATGTCACTGTATGATAGTGCATGTTACTGTAAGATAGTGCGTGTCCTGTGCATGTCACTGTAAGATAGTGCATGTCACTGTAAGATAGTGCATGTCACTGTAAGATAGTGCATGTTACTGTAAGATAGTGCGTGTCCTGTGCATGTCACTGTAAGATAGTGCATGTCACTGTAAGATAGTGCATGTCCTGTGCATGTCACTGTAAGATAGTGCATATCTTGTGTATGTGACTGTATGATAGTACATGTTCTGTGTATGTGACTGTATGATAGTACATGTCCTGTGCATGTCACTGTAAGATAGTGCATGTCACTGTAAGATAGTGCATGTCCTGTGCATGTCACTGTAAGATAGTGCGTGTCCTGTGCATGTCACTGTAAGATAGTGCATATCTTGTGTATGTGACTGTATGATAGTGCATGTTCTGTGTATGTGACTATATGATAGTACATGTCCTATGCATGTCATTGTATGATAGTGCATGTCCTGTGCATGTCAATGTACGCTAGTGCAGGTCTTGCATGGACAGTGCATGTCAGTGTATGTCCTGTGAATGTTGCTGTATGCTAGTGCATGTCCTGTGTGTGTCAGTGTAAGTGCATGTCCTGTGTATGTCACGTGTGATAGTGCGTGTCCTGTGCATGTCACTGTAAGATAGTGTAGATCCTGCATGGACAGTGCATGTCAGTGTATGTCCTGTGCATGTTGCTGTACATGTCCTGTGAATGTTGTATGATAGTGCATGTCCTGCATAGACAGTGCGTGTTCTGTGTATGGCTGCTCATACACAGTGTGCATGGCACTGTATGGTAGTGCATGCCACTGTGTGATAGTGTGTGTCATGGACAGTACATGTCCTGTGTGAGACTGTGCAGCTCAGTGTATGTACCGTGCAGATCACCTTCTAGAGTTTAGTCCCACTAGGGGAGAACATATTTCCATCCAAGATGGGACTTCTGTGGTTGCAGTCACCTGGTTTGCGTTCAGCTTTGATTTTCTGGGAGATAGATGCTGCTGTTTTGAGGAAGAGAGGACCAGGCTGAAGCCAGGAGCCGGGAGCCAGGAGCTTCTTCTGATCTCCCACTTGGGCAACCTTCCACTGCTCTCCCAGGCACGTTGGCAGGGACCTGCATGGGAAGCAGAGCAGCCTGGACTGGAACCTGTGTGTATATGGGATGCCAGCGTTGTAGGCAGAGGCTTAACCGTCTATACCATAGTGCTGGCCCTCCATTGGTTTTTGAATATCTTCCCTCTCCTCTCGAAAGGTGGAATTGCAGATTTCTATATACATGGATTTAGTGTTTTCTTCATTCTTTTCATCTCTATTCAAAAGAATGCTCAAAATAGGATACAGGACATTCAGCAGACTTGATGATTTCCATGAACCAAGAATTCCTTCCGGGTCTATCATGTGCCACCCAAGCACGCAGACCATCATCTGCTGCTTTACAAAGTGCAGTATTAGTGAGCCTGAGAAGTGGAGTAGCCGGCGCTCACAACCAGGGCCTGTATGGGATGCTGACAGCAGCTTCACTGGCTGGCCACAGTGCCAGCCCCGTGGATTACTCTTTAATTGGTGAAAAGCAGAGGTCACAGCTGCATTCATGGATAGTCAGTGCTAAAGATGGAAGGAGACTTAGCGAACGTGACAGACTCTTCTGGATTTCCCAGGACATTCTTAGCTTTCGTCTTTAAATGCCTCATATGCTTGGGAACCCTTGGTCCTGGGTGAACTGAGACGGTCACACGTACCGCAGGGAGAGCATCAGAACTGATCTAGCCTAGGGTGTGAAGTCCATTTCCAAGATCGGTCTGTGGGGTCTGAGGAGTGTGGGCTGCATCTGAGTGTCGTGATTGTTCCCACTTGAGGGAGCAGACTTGAGAGTTCTTTATGTTTCCGCAAGGTGCTCACTGCATTTCTTCAAACACATATACCTGGGTTAGTGGTAATGTTATGATCAAGGAGAAAGAGAGGGATATGTGGTTTAGGCTTGGAATATGACAGTAAGCCATTTAAAGGAAGATTCAAGGGGAAGAAAGAGTTTTCGTGTGTTGAGCTGTAGATACAAGGGGAGAAGAGCTGAGTGCTTCAGCCATGGAGCCAGTGGATTATATATGGGGTCCTACAAACATTTGTAGAACCAGAATTAGAGCATGAGCTTATTTGGTGTGTAAATTTTGAAATATATACTATGAAGAGTCTTCAAAAAGTTCATGGAAGGGGCCGGCACCATGGCGTAGTGGGCTAAGCCTCCACCTGTGGTGCCAGCATCCCATATGGGTGCTGGTTTGAGTCCTGGCTGCCCCATTTCAAATCCAGCTCCCTGTTGAAGGCCTGGGAAAGCAGTAGAAGATGACTCAAGTTCTTGGACCCTTACACCCATGTGGGAGACCCAGAAGAACCTCCTGGCTTCGGATTGGCCCAGCTGCAGCCATTGTGGCCGTTTCGGGAGTGAACCAGCAGATGGAAGACCTTTTTCTCTGTCTTCCCGCTTTCTGTGCATAACTCTACCTCTGAAATAAATCTTAAACAAAGATCCTCAAAACCATGTTCATAATTGGAAGTTAACACTGAGTGCAGAGAAGATCAGATAGAACTAGCAGAAAACAAATAGACAAACTTCCATGTTTGTGTGGTGGAATCTTGTGATGGTGCACGTGGTGGACCATGGACTAGAATGCAGCAGATTTCTTGCTGAATCCTTCAGAACACTAAATCCTTCAGACTCTAAGTTGTGTTCACATTGCGCGGGGTTCTTGCTAAAGTATAGATTGTGTCTCCCTCATCAGGGCTGGGCCTGAAACTCCATTGCCCAGCAGCTCGGAGTTCGCTGGAAGACACGCATCCGCCTGGTGTAGGAGCCTGGTGCTCAGACTCGCCGCCTGTTAGAGTCACTGAGATTGTGGGGGAGCTGAGAAGATGCTGACGCCTGGGTCCCAGCCCTGGGGGCTCTGCTGTGGTTGGAAGGGGTGGGACCCACGCGTGGGGCTCATAATCGCTGTGTTGGATTTCAGCATGCAGCTCGCCGGGAGAGTTGCTCTCGGGCTGGGCTCAGTGCACTTTCTAGAAGAAAGACACATCTGTGGAATCTAATCCTGCTTTCTTTTTTATTGCAGGTTGCACAAATCTACAAGGACTCAAGTATCGGAAATCTTATAAACATTGTACTCGTAAAATTAATTGTGATTCACAATGAACATGTAAGAAACGGATTGAATATTAAAACATTAGTAATCTTAGTTGCAGTGGGCTTTTAGTGTGAATATATAGAGGTCACAAAACTCACTAAGAATTAGATTTTTTTAACAGTTTACTCTAAAAACTTGGTTTCAAAAGGATTGAGATTACTTTTTCTGTTGTGATAGAGATCAAGTGGAACCACAGCAGGGTTTATCTGAGCCAGGGGAGAGAAGATACAAACAAATCAAAAATCCAACACTAAATACCCTGCTGGTGGCTGGGTTAGCATAGAGAGTAACCGGGGAGCTTCAGAGTTCACGGTGTTTGGGGTGAAGGAGAGAGGTGCCGCTCCTGGAGTTGGCTGCAGCTTGCTCTTCTGTGCGTGGGGTGGCCAGGATGCTGAGAGCTTGGAGGAGAAAGTGGGCCTGATGTTTGGACCTCACCCTGAGCTGTGTGTTGTGTAGGAAGGACCAGTCGTCAGTTCCAACGCAGGCAGCACGCTGCAGAATTTCTGTTCATGGCAGCAAACTCAGAATGTCCTTGATGACACCCACCCTGCCCACCACGACACAGCTGTCCTCATCACCAGGTAGGGCTCAGCAGACGCTCTCCTCCTCCTCCCCTCCTCCCCTCCTCCCCTCGTCGCATTCGGCGCTAAGGCAGATGAGCGTAACACATGGAGCAAAGCAAATTGATCTCAATTGAACTTGATG